TTTGTTTTGTTTTGTTTTGTTTTGTTTTGTTTTGTTTTGTTTTGTTTGAGACAGGGTCTCACTCTGTTCCCCAGGCTGGCCTACAGTGGTTCAATCATGTCTCACTGTAGCCTCAACCCTTTGGGCTCAAGGGATCCCCTTACTTCAAGCTCCTGAGTAGCTGAAACTAGAGTTTTGTGCCACTGTGCCCAGCTAATTTTCAAATATTTTTTGCAGAGACAAAGTCTCACGATGTTTCCCAGGCTAGTCTGGAACTCCTGGGCTTGAGTGATCTTCTTGCTTTGGCCTCCCGTGCTGGGATTACTGTGCCCAGCTGATGGATGCCATACTCGCAGTGATAATATTAATTTTATTTTCATTTTTCCTGCTAATAAGTTACATTCATATGGTCAAGGAATTAGTAGTGTTTCAGTCAATAAAATCTACTTACTTTCGCAACAACAAAAGTGTTGATTCCATGATGATATGAGAGGTTGTTTAAAATCTATTTTTAGAAATAACAGATTATGTTACTACCAGGAACTTTGAATTTATTTCCACATTTGCCACCTAAAATTTTAAGTCATGAGTATATTGTATAATAATAGTATTACAGTAGGGTTTTTTGATGTGTCAATATTTTGCAACTCCTTTTGTCTAGTGGTGAAATATATTTCGCCACACAATCCATCTAGGAGTGTAATTTCCCTTCCTTGGGCCAATTATGTGTTAACAAATGTGGTGCCAGCAGAGACTTGAAAAGTGTTTTCACATTGGATTTTGCTCTGTTTATTGCTGTGAACCTTGAGACATCTGTACCAAGTAGCCTGGGCTAGCCTCCTGGAGGAAGAGAGCCCCAACCATTTAATGTTGCTGCAAAGGCAAACAGGTGCACACTTAGATCTTCTCTCAGGAATGCATATGATGTCACAGTGATTACTTTGTTCCAAAAAACATTGCTTTGGTTGAAAACCAGACTCAATGAAAATGAACAATCTATAATTTAATTTCTAAATTTTAAATTTTAGTTAATGTATCTCTCTGTGTGTGTGTGTGTGTGTGTGTGTGTGTGTGTGTGTGTGTATGTGTGCATCCATTACATAGCATTACTTCGGATCACTGATATTTTTTCATTTTGCAAATATTGTATCATTAATCTGTCATTATGCTGATACTTTCCCTACTTTTAATTTATTTATACTCATTTCTCCCTGTATCTATTGAATAATCTAAATAAAGCTATTAGCCATCATTTAGTTAACAAGGGTATCCTCTGACTCTTATTTGTGAATGCATTTCCTTGCTCCTGTCTCATAGCTAGAACTTTTCAATAAGGTCTTTGTTTGATGTGGGTTGAAATGGAGCAAGCTTATCTCACAGAAATATAATGTGCTAACCCAATAGTCTTGACCGAAGATAAATCACTCATTTAATGGGCTCTGCTTGAAATGCAGAGGGTTGACCACAAAAGACCACTTTTTGTCTCTTTGTCTTAGGTCCAAACCGAAACTGAATTTGTTGGTCATATATTCTTATTCTAAGATCATTTGTTCACCTCTGCACACTGCAATACAGTCTAATGTAATTGCTAGTCCTTTAAAAGAAAAGAGAAGAAAAGAAAAGAGAAGAAAAGAAAAGAGAAGAGAAGAGAAGAGAAGAGAAGAGAAGAGAAAAGAAAAGAAAAGAAAAAAAAGAAAAGAAAAGAAAAGAAAAGAAAAGAAAAGAAAAGAAAAGAAAAGAGAAAAGAAAAGAGAAAAAGACCAGTGGCATCACTCCTGAGGCCAGGCCACTCCTGAGGTTCTCTGACAGAATAAGTGAGGTTATCATCAAGTCTTCTGCCTAGTGTTAGTATCATTAGCTTTTCATTTTATGACAAGGCAACTATTTTTAAGATAAAATAATGAATAGTGGGGAATGTGTTAAGGAATCTGATTTCTGAAATATTTTTTTAAGTTCTTAAATGAAGAGATAAAATATTTTTAAAGCAACATATTTTATTTTGAAAAATAGATTGATAAAGCAGGAAGGAAATTTGATTATTCTTATTTATTCAGGAAGTTTGCTCAGGAATGCAGTGATAAGAATCTGTTAAAAAATAAGGGGAGATATACATTTACATTAATTTTAGTTGCATCAGATTTTTTTTTGAGGGATGGTAAAGGTCCCAGCTATATTGAAAAACTACCTAACTAGTTTCAATTTCTCACAGATAATCAAAACTTTATATAGTACAAAGAGAATTTTCTATTTTTATGTGTCTCATACAGGAAATAAAAATTCTCTTCAGAAAAATAATGCATATATGCATTTAATAAAATAAATAAATGCATACACCACCTCCTCGATATTTTGGAGTTGTTGAGGCACTCTCTGAATATGAACCCCCATACCTCGGTCACTCAAATTTCTAATTCTACCCAACCCCCCTACCCCCAATCATATGCCTTTGTTTTCTAATGATATGCCTTTCTACAAACAATTTTCTCCAACTGGGATGACTATATCGCTTTCGTTACATAACAGAATTTTATTTATCTACATTTTAAATACCACCTTGTTTTCACAGTGTTCTTAGCTTATTGCTAGTTGCAATTAAACTCTTCACCTCATATTCTTAAGATAGGTGCTTCTTAGCACTTAAAAAACTGCCTCCCATTTCCATCCTGAGCCTCTGCAGGCCAGTAACTGTATTTCATTCCTTCCTCTATCAACTACCATTCCTTGTGTATATTTGGAGTTACATAAATGCTGTTTGAATTAGGAGTGATATATTTTGATAGCCTTTAATATGATGAAGACTGTTATAAAAAATATTTAAATCATATTTTTCTAGAGTTAGAAATGATCTAGAAAAATATGAATTTGAGTTTAAATAAATGTTATAGCAGCATAATGAATCCATTGATCCTGAATGATAACTGAAACTTAAATGAATCACTTATTTAACGATTGTGTGGTGACAGTATCTAATATTTATCAACATTGTTCAATATTTTAGCAACTTTAGGAAACTTGTAAGCAAAATAAAATGCCTAGATTGTTTTTAGCAGTAATATTTAGTATCAATCTTGGAATTGTTGCTTTTGGGAGAAATTCTGTACTGAATGATTAATTCTGTACTCCAAATTGATTCTGTTGAGTATATATTTTATTTGGATTGCTTTCAGATATTGCACTGTGATTTAGTGTTCTATTAATATCATATAAAACTTGTAAAATATAGTTCATAAGGTGAAGGTATCCCTTTTCCTTAACCACAAGTTTCTACTCTATCTAATAACCAAATCACAATCCTTTGATAAATTAAAAAGTTAGCCAGATGCTTTTAGTTCCTCGCAAAGCCACTGATTCAAATCAAACACAACATACTACTTTATTGGGTTCTCCCAAACAATCAAAGTGTCTGCAATGGGTTTGGAAGTAATCTTAGTTGTGAGGTGTAGGTTTTGGGCTTCTTACATGAAAGAAAATATACACAAAGGAGGAAAGGCCAAATTATAGTTTGACTATGTAAATGGTAACATCAGCTCACACCATCTGTATAACCTACATGTAGTGAGCTGTAGATTTAAAAAATGATGATAGTATTCCTATTGGCCATCATTTTAAACTCTTGGAACAGTTAGCAAGAAGTTATATTTCTCTGTTCCATAAATGAAGAAACAAAAAACCTTCTTACAAATATTATGTTTGTTTCACAGTGGAAGTAGCATTCTTAGGCTTTTCCTATCGAAACAGCTAATTTCTTGCTAAACAGAGAATATGATTAAATAGAGCAAGAAATGACAAACTATTTCAAAGAGTTTTATTCTTTTTTTTTTTTTTTTTTTTTTTTGAGAGGGAGTCTCTCTCTGTCTCCCAGGCTGGAGTGCAGTGTTGCAATCTCGGCTCATTGTAACTTCTTCCCCCTGGGTTCAACTGACTCTCCTGCCTCAGCCTCCCGAATAGCTGTCACTATCGGTGCGTCCCCCGACGCCCGGCCAATTTTTTGTATTTTTAGTAGAGACGGGGTTTCACTGTGTTAGCCAGGATGGTCTCAATCTCCTGACCTCATGATACACCTGCCTCGGCCTCCCAAAGTGCTGGGATTACAGGCGTGAGTCACAGCGCCCAGCCTAAGAGTTTTATTCTTAAAAATTGAGTAGACAATCAAGTGGTAAGAAATTATAATCGAGTAAGTTAAAATGAACATGATGTTGTAGGTGGGTTTATGCATTTATTTATTTTATTAAATGTATATATGCATTTTTTCTGAAGAGGATATTCATTTCCTTAATCTCATTATGCAAATAGTTCATGACACCAAAATGAACCAATGCAAAAAAAAATAATAATTAAAAAATAAATAAACCACATGCACACACAATTTCAAGAGCATTCTTATGCCCACGTATGGACCTTATTTAGCAGAGGACAAAATGTAAATGAAGTCTAAAAGACTAATAAACATGGTAGAGGGGTTCAAGTAAAAAGAGGAATCTAAACCAGATGAGAGGTAATCACGTGTTTGGGTGGAGAGTAAATAGAGGATTTGTATTTACTATTTGAAATCTAGTTGTCTATTTATTGTTTATCCCTCCATACTGTTTAGGTAGTGGTGACCAAAGTCATAGTTTGACAAGACACTGGACTCCATAGTACCTTCAGCATTGGAAATGTTTATGAAATATAATCTAAGGTAATTACACTGAATGTGGGAGTTCACACAAAGATATCTTTCATATAAAGAAATGCTAAAAGAACAAGTCTCTCTTGAAGTAGCAAATATCAGTCAACTTGTTAATATTTTATCTATCTATTTATTTATTTATTTATTTATTTATTTAATTCATTTGTTTGAGACAGAGTCTCACTCTGTCACCCAGCTGGAGTGCAGTGGCATGATCTTGGCTCACTGCAACCTCCACCCCCCAGGCTCAGGAGATCCTCCTGCCTCAGCATCCCAAGTAGCTGGGTCTACAGGTGCACACCACCACATGAGGCTAATTGTTGTATTTTTACAAAATACATGCCACCACGCCCGGCATTATTTTATCTTTAATGTGAAATGATTAGCTTTTTGAGATGAGTGAAATATCAGGATAATTACTTAAATGACTTCACAACATTTTACCTTATCCAGATTATTATTAGCATGGTGACATCTAGTAAAGACATAACCTATTCTTCTAATGTGGAATATAACAGTGTGAAATTCCAAAGGTAAGCCAAAATTATTATTTTTTAAGAGAACAGAATGCAATTTCTGTCCTTTTTAATAAAAATAAGAGTACTTTTCTATCTCATTATGATAGGTTAGGTGTGTAATGATATATGCTTTGATCTCAAGACATTACCCAGAGTGATTTCCTGAAGCATGGGATTCTCATTGGCTTTCCAGAGGAAGATTTAAGTTCTACACTGAAAAGGGACAACGACATGAAGAGAAATAGATTAGCTGATCCTCTGTTCCATATCCATATGAATAGTCATTATGCAGACTAGATGAGGTACATTTTTCAAGATCTAAATAGGATGACTGGTGGACGGTGTAAGTTTTGTATTATTATGTAGATCTCTGAGGCACAACTTCAAGTGGTAAGCAATTAAACCACAAAGAGACTGAAGAAAGAAATGGGGACTGCCATTGAGTTGCTCGTTTTTACAGCAGCACCTGGCACACTTCATTTCTTGGGCACACATGGATATAATTCAATTTTGGGGGATGAAATTGAACTCCTTTCAGGAAATCTTAGAGTAATTAAATGATTCCGCTTCATGATGAAAACTTTTTGTTTTTAAGTTTGAAGTAACGTACTTCCTTTTACCCATCTTTTATCTGCATTCTCCCTTCCAATGTAAGTTTGTTCTTGTGAGGAGAAGGAATAAATACTATAATTAAAAGCATCTCTGATAACATTGTACTTCAGGGAATTCACTTTTGCTGTGCATCTTCTTTGAGACAAAAAACGCACAACAGATGGTGTGTTTAATGTTAATATCCTTATTATTCACTACCCAGTATTGCAAGAAACCTTCACATAGCAAAATATGATCTGGTTTAACAATTATGCTATCTTAATGCTTATTTTAGCTCATCCATAGAATGATGCTGAGTTGCCAGTGACAATGAAGTTTTAAGGTTTTAAAACTTTCATTTGCTTTTTAAAATTTGTTGTAGTCAGCTAACCCATTTTCCAGACATAATCTATTTACAATGTTTTGCTGTCTGGAATTCAAAAATTACCATTTCATGGTTTCTATTTGTGATGAATGTGAAGGCATTGCTTATTTTCTGGTAAAGTTTAGTAGCTCTCATAGCATTTTCAAAAATGGGTATAAAGATTTTAATGTAAGAATTACAGCTTCATAAATGAAAAGATATCAGTGGAAATAAAATTTGGAGAGGCTGTAGCCTATAGATCAGAGTTGCTGACCACCACTGTGGATAGAAATAACGCCATGTTCAGCATTAAGAAGATACCCACCTCTGTAATCCTTCATAGTCACTTCTGTCTTCTCCTGTTCAGATTGTTCTCAGTTATTTTTGACATCAGCTTGCATGGATAGGGGAAAAATCGTCAAAATTAATGTGGCAATTATTGAGCTTATTGTCTTTTTAACAATTTTGAGACACATTTGCTTATAGGATACACTCATTTAAAGTGTACATTTCTATGGCTTTATGAATGAAGTGCCTCATTGTTAAATGCTAAGCTGTACAGTGTGGGGTGGTGGTGGGAAGTATTTGTCAATTGTAAGGACATCTTTTTGGGGTGATAAAAATGTTCTAAAGTTGATAGTGTTAATGACTGTACAACATTTTTATCACCCCAGAAAGACGTCCATACCATTGACAAATACTTCCCACCACCACCCACTCTGTATTTCTGAGCATTTGACAATATTAGGCACTTCAATCAAGGTTTAATGACTTTTTCTATACATGCATTTATGCTAATAACAGACATATACTTATTTAACAAGCATTTATTGGCAATTTCCCAGGTGCCAGACAGAATGATAGGTATCGAGGATAGAAAACTGAATATAACACTAGATCCTAGGCCTCCAACAACCTAGTAAGAAAATAATCTCAAAATAAATAGTTGTATATGCCAATAGTTCTTAGAAAAAAAGACAAATAATTTAACAAAGATGTTTTAAGTTGATACATAATTATAAGAGAATATTTGGTTAGATTTACATGAGGTAAAGAAAATACAAAGTTTGTATACAGATACTATAGGAAATTATTTATTAACTTTTAATTAAAATATTCATTTACTCTAACAATAACATATTTCTGTTAGACTTGAATCTATAATCTTTAGAGATGTATAGATCCTATTGCTCCTGGAAACTTAAGAGATAAAAGATATATAAAAGAAAGGTATTTGAACATCTTCAAAAATCTTTTTATGGTGTATATCTAATTTTGACTCTGAAAATGTTACCTGGACTTTTGAAATTATCTCCAGTATCAGCTCATTTAATGTGCTCCAGTGAGGGGTCTTTGAAGATTACTTCTTTTTAACTTAATAGTTAAGAACACTAGTTCTGTCAAATAGATCTAAGATGAATCCTACCTTTATCATGTTTCCTTCCTTGCTACCTTTTATCCTTCTTTTTCTCCTCAAATATTTAAGAGCCTACTGTGTGCCAGACACTATTTTAGTGTACTCATTTAGACAATCAAGCCACTTCAAATCTTTTTATTGGATGAGTATACATAAATATGTCCAATCTAACTGACTTTACATGCCCATTTTTTGCTATAATTTTATTGCCACAATTATTACAATTGATAGTTTCCTTTTACCTCTTCTTTTCCCCATCACACCATGGTATCAGGTGTCCAGGCTCACAGCAAAGTTGTCAGCATAGAAAATCTATTTTTCTACCACTGGAATGTATTTCTCATAGCAGTCATTTTCCTGTTCATGTTTTTGACCTTCAACAAATTAATATGGCACGATTTTGTTTGATAATAATTTAACATTGCTTGTCCCTGAAGCAATATTTTTCCAGTTTGAAGTTTAGCATTTTGGGCTGCTGATATACTTCAGTATATTTAGATGAAGCCATTTTATGTAGTAGATTTTATTATCTCCATTATGGAACACTTATTTTGATTTATATATTTATATTTTAGTTGTGGCTAATGACTACTGCAAAATAAAACTAATGGGAACATCAATTTTAGGAGAAAGAGTTTCTTATTCATTATACATGCCAAAACTACAGACAAGGCAATTAAGGAACCATGTACCTGTGGAATAGAGGGGCATCTATTACATATGCAGTTTTTGTGGCCATTAAACAATGGAGAGAAAGTTTATTCTACAGGTCCCAGTCCTTACTGGTTGATTTATAGGTCTTCTTTATCTCCTACGGCAACAAAACAAAGGCCCACATTGCGTGTCTCCAATAGGGTCAATGATGGAATTGTAAGTTACCTTGCCTTGCAGAGACATTAAAGCATCACTCAGATGTGCAAAGATTTAAGAAGCATAGAGACTGACTGGAAATTCACAGGAAGAGGAAAGTGTGGCTAGTTGGCGGAGAGCAGGGTGAACTCAGTTGGCTCTCAACATGGCTACTGAATTGACTTTCTAAACTCATATTATATGTCATTATGTGACAATCATTGTTTTTAGCATTGTTTACACAGAAGAATAAATACAAGAAATTAGATGTTCAATGGACCATTCAAAGCCTGACTTTCTCTTTTTTCTACTTAACGCATGAACCATTGGAGACTTCAATATAGCTTCCAGTTCTGTACATTTGTTCTTTTCTTGTAAAATATGCTAGTCTGAAATGGAAGCATTTGAGATCACTGTTTTAGAGGTGCTATCAAAAGCAAAATTTCTAGTTGTTTCATTCCCATGAGTCAAACTACAACCACTCAACAAACATGTAGAGTACTTATCCAGTCCCTACAGCAGGCTGACTACAAGTATTTCATCCTCTCGGCCATCCATCCTGCAGGGTGGGTAGCTATTATCCTCACTCTAAAGATGAAAAACAATTGTAGCTCATGAAACCTAAATAACTTGTTTGAAGTCAGACAACGAATAATATTCAACTCAAAAGTCAGTTCTCACTGTTGAAAACTCTCACTACAGCTTCAGCCTCCCCTGAGTAGGTAAATACCACATTCAGATAGGAAGATCATATGAGGCTGGAAGGTATGACGTTTTCCTTGATGCTGAAGAATGTTTTAACAAATTATCTGAAAAAGTAAATTTCTCTACTTTACAAGTATCTTTGTAATATTACATTTTTTACTTGCTTCAAGTGTCTTTATGGAGCATATTGAATACGTTAGGGAAAATACATGAAATAAACTTTTAGATAATCTATACCTCTCTTGATAAATATACAGTATGCCTTTTACATAGAGACAAATATTAATTTTGATTTCAGGCTAATCACTAGTTGTGATTAAGGGACCAGAAATTAGTTTGTGATTATAATTTTTCTACCTTTCTCTCAGAATCCGCACTTTAAGAAATAATAAATCTCTGGCAGAAGTTTATCAGCTGAGCTTAGAGTTATGTGTCCTATTTTTTCAACTTTTCACGCATCTGTCACTTTCTAGGTTTTAGCCAAGTTTGCCAAGCATCTGAATCCTGTCAACAAAGTGCTAAAATCCATAACTCTGAAAACCCTCTTTTAACCAATAACTAATGCTCTTCAACTCAAGTGGAACTGAAAAACTTAAGAAAATGTGAAAGCAATCTCCTATCAGTAAGCCAGGCTGTTTCTATTTCAATTTGTGTGTGTTAGCGGGGCGGGGAGTGGGGTACAAAAGTAATAGAAATACAGATATGAACTGTCTATCCTATGCAGTGTATTTCTGGGCTACTGAGTGACGAGGGACAATGACAAATCTCCAAAATAGGTGTCAGAGCATACCAAGCTTTCTTTCAATGTAAGTATTTTGTGCTTCAAATATAGAATTCATATAATAATGATAATACAGATACTATTTTTTAATGTCATTAATGAAATAAAATTTAAATTTTAAAAATGCTTTCATTATTCACTTTGGATTCTATTATTTACTTTATAATTCCTGTTTCTGAAGTCCAGGATAGAGTATTGTTCCTGCAAGTAATAATTCTATGCTTAAGATGAATCAATTCTGGAAATAATATTTTTTATGTTAAAATCCATCTTAACATATATTATTGGCAAATAGTATACATGGTAATATTTCTAATTTTAATTTCCTATATATTTATTTGTTAGTAGACTGGTTCACTGACAAAATCAATAACAATAATTCTGATCTCATGTAACAGTAGCAAAGATTTTTAAAATGAATTTAAATTATATAATACCCGGTTATTTCTCGGTGAGATAATTGTGTCAATTACTTTTTCCATCAGGTTATGTGTTGTTTTTATTCAAGCAGTTATAATATCTTCATAATTATATGTATTTGTATACACACAGGCATATGTAGTTTGATATTACAATTTTTTAGTGTAAATTTATATGAAAAATAAAAATAAATATATTGCACTGATAGAAATGTTTTCCCTTGAATACGTTCACTGATGAGTTGTACCTGTTTTTATTTTAATTACCCATAGAAGCTATTTCTCAATCTCCTGGCAATGTATTGCATCCAGTATTTTTATAGCTTCTTTTCTCCCAGGATTTCATTGCACACAAGAATGGAAAATTGAAAAGGAGTGAGATTGTGGCAAAATAATTGATGTCCCTTTAGGTTTTCCCCATGAGAATGCTCCCATAATAGCTTAAATTCCCCTATTTAGGTCTCACAGTTTAACTTGTCAATATGTAATTATGATTCCAAAACAAAACAGATTACTTTGCAGTTATGGTGTGGATTCTGTCATGCTGAATAAAAAAGAAGCATTGGCTAGAGGAAGTGAATGTCTCATTAGTAGTTTCTTATTTAATGATCTACCAAGGTTAGGACTCTAACTGTGAATGCTATCTTTAACAATCTTAAACAAGATCCCTCCAGAGGCCAGAGGCCCTGTAATAGCCATAAAGGTTTAAATCTATGACCTGAAATTTCATTGCTATGATTATGGACATTATAAAAATATATATATGTACACATAGCTCTGTGTGTGTCTGTGTGTGTACGTATAAAGCAATTGGAAGACCTAATCACAGAGCTACAATTCTCATTTATAATTAACACTTTTGGAATATATATTAATTTTGAAGTTTTAAAATAATAAAACTATCAAAGAAATAAAGTGTTTATAAATGAAGACTTGATTTGAATTTACAAAATAGTTTCTAACCTCATGTTGATTATGAAAGTAAAGGCTACCTGCTTTGTACAGTTCAATTTTGCCTTTACTTTTTTTTTTTTAAATCTGTGATGTTTTATGATAATTGATCTTTTTTATTTAGGTTAAAAGTAATCCAACGTGTCTAGCTTACATATTTTATTCTGGTGACTTTTTTTGTACTATGATTATGTGCTAATTATAGTAGAAAAACATAAAATCAACATATTTAGTAAGCAGTTACTATCTATAAGATTGTGCTGAGTATAGGACAGTTTCTTATCTCATAAGGCTTGTCTGATAAGGAAATCACATAGCATTAATTTATAAAAATCTCATTAAATTCAATCAAGAAAAATTAGTGTGTTTTGAGAGTGAATAAAAGAGAAACTTGATATAACTTGATATAGTTAGAGGGAGATGGTTTCAAAAATGTCTTTGAGGGAATATCTTAGCTAAAACCTAAAGGATGAAAAGGTATTGATGGATGAAGAGGATACCACACAGTGAGAAGAGGGAAATCTGAGGCCTAGAGGGATGTAAAAGCAAGACATATTTTTAAAACTAAACGAAGGCAATGTGTTTGGAGCGTACTCATTGAAGAGGAAAGTGGTAGGCATGGTGTGATCTTACAGGGTCACGTGGACTTTCTAAGGCTTTTCAGCATTATTCCAAAGCCAGTTAAGAACCATTCCCAGATTTTTGAGTAGATCCTGATGGGACTGGATGTGAGGAGGATTCAGGGAACATACCAATAAAGACACCCAGATTTCTGACTTAAACAACTGGGCAGATTATGGTGCTATTTACTGAAGTAGGAACTCATAGAAGTATGATAGACACTTGTGAGAAATACTAACAGGTATGTATGTGTCAGGAACCAGAAGAAAGCTAGGACTGAAAATGTAAATATAGTATTTTCCTAACAACTATCTATATATTTTTTGAGATGGAGTTCCATTCTTGGCACCCTGGCTGGAGTGCAATGGTGAGATCTCAGCTCACCGCAACCTCTGCTTCCCAGGGTCAAACAATTCTCCTGCCTCTGCCTCCCGAGTAGCTGGAATTACACGCATGTGCCACCATGCCCAGGTAATTTTTGTATTTTTAGTAAAGTAGGGGTTTCACCATGTTGGCCAGGCTGGTCTTGAACTTCTGACCTTAAGTGATCTCCCATCTCAGCCTCTCACAGTGCCAGGGTTACAGGCATGAGCCACTGCACCTGGCCCAAAAAATATCTTTGTTATTACTAGGTCATTCTGTGGAATTGCTGGGTTCTTCGTCTCCCTGCCTTAGAGAATAATGAAGCCACACACCCTGGTGCTGAGTGTTAAATAGTTCTTAAAGATGGAAATAGGTCTTAAAGATGGTGTGTCCAGAGTTTGTTCCTTCAGATGTTCAGATGTGTCCGCAGTTTCTTCCTTCAGGCAGGTTTGTGGTCTGGCTGACTTCAGGAGTGAAGCTGCAGACCCTCGAGGTGAATGTATCAGCATCTGAAGTTGTTCATTCTTCCCAGTGGGTCTGTGGTCTCTCTGGCTTCAGAATGAAGCTACAGACCTTAGCGGTGAGTACTACAGCTCATAAAAGTGGCATGAACCAAACAGCGACCAGCGAACACATCTTCCACAAGCAGTAGTCAACCCTTGCAGGTTACTGCTGCTGGCTCAGGCAGCCTGCTTTTATTCCTTTATCTGACTCCACCCACATTCTGCTGATTGGTCCATTTTACAGAGAGTTGATTGGTCTAATTTACAGAGAGCTGATTGGTCCATTTTACAGAGAGCTGGTTGGTCTGTTTTGACAAGAGTGCTGATTGGTGCATTTACAATCCTTTAGCTAGATACAGAGTGTTAGACATAAAAGTTCTCCAAGTCCCACTAGGCCCAGCTGGGTTCACCTAGTGGATCCCGCACTGGGGCTGCAAGCAGAGCTGCCCACCAGTCCCCAGCGGAGCCTGCACTCCTCAGCCCTTGGGCGGTGGATGGGACCGGGCACCATGGAGCAGGGGGCGGTGCCTGTCAGGGAGGCTTGGGCCTAGCAGGAGCCCACCACAGAGTAGGGGGCTGGGCCATGGCGGGCTGCAGTTCCCGAGCCCTACCCTGAGGAGAGGCAGCTGAGGCCGGGTGAGAATTGGAGCGCAGTGCATGTGGGCCAGCAGTGCTGGGGGACCCGGTGCAACCTCTGCAGCTGCTAGCCCGGGTGCTGAGCCCCTCACTGCCCTGGGCCTGGGCGCAGGCCTGCAGCTGTGAGTGTGGGGCTTGCTGAGCCTGTCCCCGTGCCCGCTCTGGACTGTGAGCACCGCGCCCAGCCCTGGTTCCCGCCAGTGGTTATCCTTCCACACCTACCCATAAGAAGAGGGAGCCAGCTCCCGCCTCAGCCAGCCTGGAGAGGGGCTCCCACAGTGCAGTGGTGGGCTGAAGGGCTCCTCAAGTGCTGCCAGAGTGGATACTGAGGCCGACGAGGCGACAGTGAGGGCTGCTAGCACATTGCCACCTCTCAATTCTTTATTTCCTGCATTGAGTTTTGTCACAGTGGAATTGTTTGTGGCTGAAGAAAGGCCAGCTTCTACGAAACAGTCAAGGGCAGAAGCCACATTCCAGTTTGTTGAAGGGTGAGAATGACTGGATAGAAATTGTGAGAAATATGTCTTTTACAGGAATTACAGATGGAAAGGGAGAACAGCTCAGTAGTAGATAGACACATTGGCTTAAATAAATTATTTCTGAGGACAAATATGATTTCACCTTTTTGAAAGATGTATTAAGTGTGGGAATTTGAAGACAGAAAATAGACTGAGCAGCAAAGTGTTTAGAAGACTGGAGGAATTGGGATACGGAAGACACAAGAGAATATTAAGGAGCATGCACTCCATTTTAAAGGAGCATATAAACGGAGGATGTGTGGGTAGTTTGTATATCATCAATTTAAGGTTATTTTCACCTGCAAAGTTCTACTTTCTGTAGGTATTAGTAGACAAGATCATTTGCATGAGGAAGACGGTCTGGTTCAGTAAAGACATAGAGGAAGAGAAATGAGATTGTGGAAGCAGGGAGACAAAACAGGTTTGAGGAGACTGAAGCTGGTTGGGAAAATTGACTATAGAGAGCTTACAACAAATTGACCAGAAAACTAACATAGTTGTCGCTCAGTAATACTGAGATTCAAATTAAGGCTCAGCAATATTAAGATTCAATAGCTCAACTAAGAATGTGTTGTTGAGATATTCTTGTTTTTCCCTGTGATTTTTCTTTGGTAATGGTTTACAGCTTTGGTGTAGGCAAGTAGGAAAGCAGAAAACTGAATTTATTGACAGGTGGTGTTTTCCTAGGTGATTTTGTCCAAAATGATAAGAGTATCTAAGCTATTGACTAGAGGCATTTTATGGATGTCCTATGGAATGTTAAAACTAGAAGTAGGGAAGAGAAATACAGCTGGAAAATATTGGTTGAAAGGAAGAAAGTAGAGGAAAAAATTAACTGAACACTCCATCATGTAAAAGAAACTGATAGTGGGATGGTTCAGGATTCCTATGTCCACATACAAGTAATATTGACTGATCAATTGCATTGCATTTCTGTTGATTTTGCACCAAAAAAAAAAAAAAAAAAAAAAAAATTCCAGCTGCTCTCAACAAAATACCCTTAACTGACTGCAATTTGATTGCAATATAAAAAGATGTAAGTCTGTAAATTAGTTTTTAGTTTATAAAACATTGCAAATGGACTGTCTTACCCTAGCATCTCAACCTCTGCCAG